ATTACTTATTATTATTACTTATATTATTACTATACTATATATATACTATATACTATATACTATATACTATATATATACTATATATATATATATATATATATATATATATATATATATATATATATATATATATATATATATATATTTCCTATATATTATATACCTATTATATACACATATATTTCGCGAAAAAAACACAGTTTTTACCTTTTTTCTCTGTAGAGGCTGTAATCCCCCGTTCGGCTTCCGAAAAATGTCCCAGTCGTCTTGCGGTTATTCCCAATGTTCACGCACTGTTTCCGGTGCGATTTCCGGTGTGAGTTCCGGTTTTCCTCGCGTCGTTTCGTAAGTTGTTAACGTGTGAAGACACAGATTTTCAGGTTTCACAGTTTTTGCTGGTTTGTTCACAGTTTCAGCATCAAAGCAAACACACACACACACACACGCGCAATTGTGGTCACAGAAGAACTCGTGTATCTGTTCGGTTCACGCTGCGGTATCGTCGAAGTTTTGTTTCGGCGGAAGTCCCGTCATTATGACGTCATGCTGTTTGCGGTGAAGCCGGTGCCACGTGACCTATTCCTGAGTTTATATTATTTATATATATATATATATATATTTATTTATTTATATATATGTTTCATTTATTTTTATTAATTTATGTCTTTATGTCGCAGACGTGACCTCGTTCAACTTCGGCCAAGCTTCGTTAAACTTCGGCCAAGCTTCTGTCAAGCCTCCTCAAGTTCCGGCTAATCACGATGAACGGACGCGCGGCACGGCGAGAGTGCCGACTCGTTAGTTTCCGGTCGTTTCCGGCATCGACCGAAGCATCAGCGGTGGCGGAGGCAGCGGAGTTAGACGGCAGTTGCCCGTGCTAGCTTAACAAATGAAGTGATCAGCTACTTGCACTACTGCTGCTACTGTTGCTGCTGTTGCTGCTGCTATTTTTATTGCTGCTGCTGCTCCTGCTATTTCTGCTGCTGCTCCTGCTATTTCTGCTGCTGCTGCTCCTGCTGCTGCTGTTACTGCGACTGCTGCTTTTGTTGTTGATGATGCTGCTGCTACTGCTACTATTTCTGCTGCTGCTACTGCTGCTGCTCCTCCTGCTGGTGCTGTTGTTGTTGTTGTTGCTGCTGCTGTTGTTGCTGCTGCTGCTTCTGCTGCTATTTCTACTGCTACTGCTGCCGCTGCTACTACTGCTGCTGCTGCTGCTGCTGCTGCTGCTGCTGCTCTGCCTCTCTGTGCCTCTCCCCGCAGCATTAACTATTCAGCAGTCCGGATCAATCTACTTTGCTACTTAAGTCATCGAATCAATGACAGCGGACGGACTGGTCGATCGTTGGATGGCTGGCTGGATGAATGGATGGATGGATGGATGGATGGCTGGCTGGCTGGATGAATGGATGGTTGGCTGGATGGATGGATGGCTGGATGGATGGATGGCTGGATGGCTGGATGGATGGATGGATGGATGGATGGATGGATGGATGGTGGATGGGCATGGATGAATGGATGGATGGCGATGTGGAGGATGGATGGAATGGATGGCTAAAACTGGCTGGCTGGCAGGATGGATGGATGGATGGACTGGTTGAGGATAGCATGGATGATGGTGGATGGATGGCCTGGCTGGATGGCCTGGATGGCTGGATGGAGTGGATAGATGGATGAATTGGGCTGCGCTGGCTGGTTGGTAAATGGATGGATGGCTGGATGGATGGATGGCTAAATGGCATGGATTGGATAGATAGATGGCTGGATGGCTGGCAGGATGGCTGGATGGCTGGATGGCTGGATGGTTGCTAGCTACGGCGGAAGCAGACACCTGTGTCCTAAGTGTGCCTCACGGGCTCACGGCTTCTCTCCTCTCTCTCTCTCTCTCTCTCTTCTTCTTCTCTCTCTCTCTCTCTCACTCTCTCTCTCTCTTCTTCTCTCTCTCTCTCCTCACTCACTCTCTCTCTCTCTGCGTCTTCTCACGCGCGTGCTTTGGTTGTCTTAGTAACCTGACTCCTGGCCGCAGCGTGTTTGAGCAGCTGATAAGCAAACAAATTCGGTATTAATCCGACTTTATCCGTACACAAGCCGGTTCTATCCGGGGCCCGGACTCCTGGTCTGGTAGACAGTTGGTCTTTACTGGTCACCGTTCGTCGATTTCTTGGTGATTGATACAGCTGGTGGTAGTGTTGCACTGCGCGTACGGTGTCAGAGTTAGAGAAACACAGGCGTCGCGAGTGTTGGTGTTGTTGTTGTTGTTGCTGTTGTTGCTGTTGTTGTTGTTGTTGTTGTTGTTGTTGTTGTTGTTGCTGCTGCTGCTTAACTGCTTTTTCGTCGTGGCTGTTGTGTGTTGCTGTTGCTATTTGTTTTTGTTATTTTTGTTGTTTGTTCTTTTTATTTGTGTTGTTTCGTATTGTTGTTAGTTGTTTATCGTCGTTATTTTTGTAGTTTGTTATTGTTGTTTGTGTTTCGCAGAATTTTTAGCAAGCACTGTCTTCTTTTCGCGAACACTGAGTTGATCACTGCGCAGAAGATGGGGAGCGAGTTTGTCTTCCTTCTCTCTTTCTCTGGGGGAAGCTTTGCAGCTTGTTGTGTCTCTCTGTGTCGGGGCGTACAAGCAGACGAACCTTCTCCTCCTACTCCGCCTCCTTCTCCTTCGCTTCCTTCTCTTCTCTTCCTCCTCTCGTCCCTTTAAAAAGGCCAAAGGAAAAGGGAGTGGTTACAATCGAATTCCCGTGAAGCGTTCTGCGCGTGCGCGGGGGAAGGGGGGCTAAACCACGTGGTTATACGCCCTTCCTCCGGTTACGGTCACGTCATCAGAGAGAAAAATCGTACGCGTCGAAAATGAAAAACTGCCGAAATGGGGAATTTTTTTCCACTCTCTTCTCTCTCTCTCTCTCTGTCGTGAAAAGATTTTGTGAGGGGGCAAAGAGAGTATGGTGCGTGGCCCTTTTAAGCGACGAAACGAAGAGAAGGAAGAGTTTGGAGGCATTGGGAGAACGCGCTCAGGCGAACTCAAAAACTCAAATCCCCTAAAACTATCGAGAGTGCATGCATGCACCAGCTGGCCACGCGCGCACTCACACACAAACGAACTCGTTACTTAACGAGTGATAGCCGTCCACGAATCAACCCGACATGACTACGACACATCACATATATATTAGTAGTATATATATATATGTATGTATATATATATATATATATATATATATATATAGATATATTATATATATATATATATTAA